AAACAAATCCTTACAATACAATATGGAAGAAAACAACTGGGATCTTGTATTGATTTCTTAAGAAAATGTACCTCCCTTCTGTAATGTTCGTGAATTGAGATTTTTTTGAAAATATTTAGAGGAAGTAAGTATGTTCTCCCATGATGATGATATAACAAGTTCCTTCAATTTCCCCAATAATGACTAAAATTGCTCAGTACTAAAAACCAGAGACACATTTTCAAAGAATACTGTTTCTTTCCATCGCACAGACGATGTGCTGACACAAAATTCACAGAACCACTGATTTTACTTCAGGATATGACCTGACATTACAGTCAACCAAACTTAGTGGTAAGCTTCTACTGAGAGTTTTGTCCTCCATGAGGCCACGGCTTCTACACAGCAAGTTGCCTGCAGACACAAAAAAGCAGTACTGCAGCCACACAATCACTGGAGCTTTTATAGGGGTAGAAGCAAGTAGAGACTTGTGGTTTGGAAGAGTCAGTTAGAAGGGGGAATGAAACATCAGCCTTTTGGCAGCAATTCACTATTAGATGAGTTTATCTATAACACTAAATTACACCCTCAGGAGCTTAACCAGGAACTATGTGGTGCTAGTTCTTTTTTAATGTACTACTTTATACGTAAATCTTACCTCTGTGGAAATTAATGGGAGTCTGGCTATCAGTTTCAGTCAGTCAGAATTTCACTTCTGTACACTAGTGGCATGCAAATAATAAACAACAATGCAGACACCTAGGTGGTTAGGTTTAAATAACAAACAAAAGTTCCAGGTACTGATTTCATTATAATGAGAAGTAACATTCTCTCTCTCTAAATTAAAAGCTCATATACAAAAACACACGCAGCCCTAAACTATCAGCTTTCCAGAAGATTCTGTGTACAGCAGGAGTATACCAATCTTCTTGACCTTGTGAGGCAAGCATCAAGATCTTCTTGCAGCCAAGGAGACTCAAGTTATATATACTTACTTCAGACAGCTCATTTTAGAGAACGAACTTTAGGATTTGTTGACAGACAGGAGATGGCAATGGCTCCCTAAGGACTCATTACTCCATTGTTGGAGGGAAAGAGCCTGGGTAAGCAACCAGGGCCCACACCATCGCAGAATTTAGGCTTCCACAGCCCCTGTGATTTCAACTCTACCCATGGCTGAGCATGCAGATTGTCTAGAAGCACTTATAGCAGCTGGACCTACAAGATAAAGGATATAGCCATGGCATAAGAGCCCCACTTCAAATGTAGGCTGAGGACCACAAGCCAATCAGCCCTGATACAAAGTTTCAGCTTTTATTATTGTCCAAGAGTTGAACAGTGTTATGGTATCATTTCTCTCCTGTGGTCCAAAGCACAGCTAGAAGTTAGAAACATAACCATGAGTTTTTCCTTTTTCAACTTAGTATTTCTATTATCCGATCTCCTAATTACAATGTTTTTTCAGACATTTAATTCAATAGTAAATCACTAATTTACTATAACCAAACTACAAAGAAGCTGCAATGTGTAAAGTAAATAATGCATATTAATCCCATAAAAGATAGACATTTGAGCTTATATTCTCATTTTGACTGAAACACTGAAGAAGCAATTCTTTTCCCTCACTTTCTCAAGTTAACAATGTGCACTTATAAAACTTACTGAAGGTGAATGTTACTCTTAAAGCGTCAAGAAAAACTAGAATCACTGAGGACAAACTGCTTTGACTGCACAACATAAAAACAATTTCAACTATATTCTCTTATATATAAGAACTGAAGTTTGTCATATTTTAAAATGTTTAGTGGTGCTTAAGTTTTAGTGTTAATTCTTAACAAGATTAAGATATAGTTAACTACATAAGCAAAGTAAAACTAAATAAAACTCAATGCTTAATTTGTACTGAGGACCATACAGTAAGGAACCCAAAGATTCCTTCCAAATGTAACGTTCATCCTTCTCTCAATTCCACCTGAGTATTACACTTTGTGCTGTAGTGGAAGCAATTTGCTCTAGAACAGGGCACAGGTAAGACCAGTACCTACAGTTACCAAGATTGAAAGTTGAATCTGTTATACGCATACTCTGCAAGTTAATTAGTATTTTAATCCGTAAAATGTGTCCAGAGAGCAAGGATATCCAAAACACTTCTTATTATTTTGTTATATTATGCTGTCTCTGTTATATTACACAGTGCTATATTACACTGTCTCACATGAGCAATGGATATTACTGGAATTTCAGGCACACACATGTTAAAAACAGTAACTGCTTCTATTTTAGCTATTACTGAGTAACCTCATTCTGACTTTCTGCGATTTCCACTGAAAAGAGGTATATTTCAAATATAGAAGTATTATGCATCACACAGGCATCTTTAGCAGCAAGAAGACGGCACTGAAGATAAATATGCATAAGCAGCTCTTTTTTTTACATATAACTCAGGTTTACTGCTAGATCATGGAATGTTTTTCTCTCATCATTAAAGCCTCTGAAATACACTCTAAAGGAAAGAAAGCTGATCTACTTACAGATCAACAGAAGGCATGTGAAGAAGGCTTGCTAATAATGCTTCTTTTGCATGTAAGTGAGAGCAATTGGTATCCCATCTGGAAAAACACACTACTCTGAGATAGAAAACTCTTGCCACTGGCAAAGTTTATGGTATTAATTTGTAATGGTGGATTTAGGGAAATGTACTAAACTAATGCTCATTTACTTGCATAATTATGTGTTTTCTACATAAACGACAGGCTTTTACCTTGTCAATACTGGCACTGAGTTAATGGAAAACAGGACAAGGTGGGTGTACAAGTATGCCAGCACTGATGAATGTCAGGTTTAGGTTACAGATTTGCTTCTCACATTAACATCTGTACAATGTACCATCTAGTGCATTACCCTTCAGACTCTTAAATCTGTTATTTTAAATATTTTCATTGCAGTTTAGCTTTGATTATTAATCTCAGAGGCAAAAAGCTAAACTGTATCTTATCTTCTTTGCCACTTGATATGTTAAACAGCCTTCATACCTTAAATCCACTTTAATAAGACATGCAATTATTAAAGCATTACAGAATGGCCCCAGAGCACAAAAGCTCCATTAAATTTGCTTACATCTAATTATGTCTGCCTGAGGCAGGTGAGAAATTGACTCTGATAAGATCTTTCTTTTACCTGTAGCCAAAAAAATAAAAAGAAAAAAAAAAAACCTGAGAGTGATTTTCTATCTAATTGCTATCTACAAGTATTTATGGTATTCGCTCCTTCAATGAATAGCCCACAAAGCACTCTTTGTGCACTAACTAGTGCATTTTTAGTTTTTTAAAGACTGTAAAATACAAAAGACAAGCTTATCTTACTTCAGGCATAAGACAGGTCATCAATGATGTCTATTTGTGAAACAGTTTTATCTATTATTTAAATCATATATTTTATTTTAAAAATAATTCTGGTGTGAAAAAGCATGTTACATATTCTTTGTGGACATTTGTTTTTTCTTCACGTCAGTATAAGCAATGAAAGCATTCTATTTTACAGAAAAATAAAAAAAAAAAAATGTACTTTATATGGTCTGAAAACTATTCCTTTAAAAAACAAATTTTTTTTCCAAATTAAAAAAGAAGTGTTTTCTAGTAGAAAACACAGCATTCAACTCCTATGTATTTGTAACTGGCCTTCCAAAAATTCAGGAAAACGCTATTAAATTACATTGCTGGTTACCTACAAGTGAACAAGGGAATGTGGTATTTTCTAATCATTCTAATCCCACTAGCAGCCCTAGCAGATCCTAGAGAACAATACAGTGAGACCATCATAGTGATAAAGTAAAAACTAGTTAGAAACTATACCAGCTAAAGTAGGATAAATAAATAAAAAAAGAAAGAATTAATTTTAAAAAAAAAAAAGTCATGGAATTCATCCAGTCTAAAGGATTATAACTCAATGCTTGGTTAATATTTAAGGAGAAATTGCTTTGTTATAAAGCATTCTTTAAAGAAGACAGACATTAGGAATTTGATGTGAAGGTTGCCCAGATAAACCAGCCATCGGACTTCTAATGCAAGATTATACCACACTATTTTCTAAACATACATCTTTAACCACCACTGACACTGCTGCTCTTGTATTATACTAGCCATTCTTTGGTACAATGGACCACAAATCTACAGTCAACCCAAAAAGAAAAGGTCCTCCAGTCACATTTTACGCTTAAGACTTCATTTGATATTCTTAAATAAAAAACTGCATAAAGGCCTGAAATGAATATACTGAACCATTAACATGTTTCTCATATGCTTCTTAGGGTTATAGAGCATATCATTCAATAAGCCTTCCTATAAAACTTCATTTGACCTTATATTTACATTCAAACAATAAACAAACAGGTTATCTTTCATATTGATTTGCTTCATGATACAAACCTCATTTTACATATTTGACAATGAAAAGACATGTTAATTTTCTGGTATACTAAACAACTACATTGTAAATACGATTTTTCTGAAGCAATGACGAACTATTTCTGTTTGCTATATGCTTTACCAACTCAAACACTGTTGTTACACAAAATGTTTTGGCCTCATATAATTACATCTTGTTTGATGTTAATTTGTTGCATTTCTATTACAACTTTCACGGTTGCTTTATAATATTGTCTAGCCACCAGTCTGCATGATCTATAAATGACAATACTGTGAACCACTGAATTATGCATGCATCTTTACTGCAAATTAAAAACAAACAACAACAAAAAAATTACAAAAGGAATTTAATGACTACACTAGCAAGAATTACTTTCCAGCTTTTCCACATCCCCTGTAAGAATGAATTGCATACAGGTACATTAATTATTCAGACATCATGACTGTTATTCAGCCATGCAATTTTAAAAAATTTTCTTCATATTAGCATATCATATCCTAAAATACAGAACCAAATTTCTGTTTTTCTCTGTTATGTTGCGGATTTGTCCACGGGAAGTTTCAATAGATAATATTGCTCAGAATCTGAATACGTACCAAAAGCTGCCACTTTTATGATTATGGCTTGAATGTTAGATGATATCATTTCTTTAAGCAATATCTCCTGGTTCCGACGCCAAAGGTAAGCTAAAGGCTGAAGATTAAGCCTTCTGCATCTTAAAAACAAACAAAAAATTGCATAAGGCCAAGTATTACACTTTTATATAGCAGGATCCATGTAAAATTAAAGAAAATTAATTTCTCTCATTTCGTATGTTTAAATAATTTTTTCTACAATTTCAATTACAATACTTTACTATTCCTAGATTTCAGCATACACATTAAGTCTAATATTAAAAAAATGAAATAACCTTTTTCTGACTATAATTCATCTATGTAAGATGTAACTCACTGATGTAAACAGATTTGCACAGGAACATAAGTAAAACCATGCAAAAATGCATTCCTAAACCTTTAGGGATGTAAACCAACCAATACCTTAGGAAGTGATCACTTTTTATGAACACAGCTAAGGCAAGAGTTACCGCTCTGTAATAAATGTGGCACACGTCACTAGTACAATATGCTGAATTTGTTACACTCAACAAACCTGTGATTTGGATCAACACTCAACGAAAAGAATCATTCAAGAAAATGTATACAGCTTGTGATACAAATTAAAAACTTGTTAATGTAAATTTAATTATTTGTTTTCATACATATTGTATTTAGACAGTACTTGATACACAGCATTTGATTGTTTATTAAATTAGAGAATCACTAATTTGCACTATTGATAGGTAATGCTTCTGCAAATTGTCAAGTACCATCAGTTGGTGATAAAATGTGTAATGCCTAGTTCCTGAAAAACTTAAAAACACTTAACTATGGGACTAGCTCAGAGAACTCAAAAAATACATTTATTTGTCAATTATCATTGTTTATCTAATATACGGTCTTTCTCCCATACATGCTTTCTCCCATACGTCAGATAGACCCACTAGTATTAGTGTCAAGATTTTATAGTTAAATGGATGTTTAATGTTGACGTGTAATTCCATAGTTAGCACCCATATAATCTGACTGGTTTTGTTATTACTTTTACATATTTTAACAGAGCACTAAATTGTGAAATTAACAGAAACATTTAGCAACTGTGAATGTGAAGTAGTTCATTTAGGTGCCTAACTTTGGCTAACAAACTAGCTGAATCCAAGTAAGCAGGATGGTTTATGTGAAACTACTCTATTGGAAGGGATAAATGTACAGATCAATGTAAAATTTTTTTTACCACTGAGCGACCTTGGAATTAATCAGGACTATTTAATTACTGATTACTATTAATCAGTAATATTGTGATGTCCTGTCAGTCTTTTGGCTGTGGTAAATGACCTGAAACTCACAATCAACAAAAGCAATCTTTTCTAAAATATCTAGTAACGTGATCAGGCAGTCATTAAAATGTTTTAAGTGTAAGGGAACAGAAAAAGAAAGGAGTTATTTCTGACGGCAATTTACCTATGTAAAGTGTAAAGAAAACACTCATGCTATGTAACTTGCCGTTTTGACTCAAGTTGGCACAGCATTAACTTCACTATTCTTACAGTTCACAAAGGATTCCAGATATTTGCTTTTAGCATCAACAAATAACTAATGAACTCCTGAAATTATAAATAATTTTTAATACAAGGTGGTTTTGCATTTCATCAGACAGATATAGTGAAAGTTTTTTTCCAGACCCAAATCAAATCTCGATCTATTTTTAATTAAGACTCTTATAATTATCACAATCTATCTAGACTTAATGAGCATGCACAGTAGAAATGACAAATGAAAGCTCCTGATTAATGGTAACGGATTTTAGATTTTAAGAAACTAAGGGAAGATATTCACATAGAGATTTCCTTGCATTTAATTCCTAATAAGAAGTCACATGATGTTCCTCTGTATTGAAACTCTGTTGAAAAATAGAGATACCTGACCACAACACTGTAGTCACTGGAACTGAGTGAGCTTTCTGTTGAAATCAAAGATCTGAACCTACTCAACTATTTTCATATCAAAATTCTGAAAAGCCCAAAGAGTAATCCAAAAATCCAGTAGAGTCTCTGCTGGATTTTTACTAATGAACACACGGTTCCGGGGCAGGGGGGAAGCTTATATTAACAAATTGAATTAATTGAGTATCAGAGAACATGAGAAATAAAGCAACTGTCTCTGCTCCAGAATTTGAGTTAGAAAACAAACAAGTAAAGCACTTTCCAGAAGGTGTGTATTAGTAAAGATTAACATTTTCTTACACATCTTCAACTCGAACTCTCTGGTAGTCAGAAAGAATGGCTCCCACAGATACACCCTCCACTCCTTCTTTGTCCTGAAAAAAGACATGGAATATTAATGATAGCAGTATATGCTGGCCTAAGCAACAGAGATTCAGCACCTCTACTAGCAGAATCAACCAAGAAAAAAAATCTTTTACCCACTGAATGGGCTGGAGCGTGGATCTTGCATAGAAGAGAGCAGCACAGCTGATCTACTAGGTGGTTATTACTCTAACATAGTAATCTACTCAAGTACCGTTCTACAGATGAAATAACCACGCTACCTGAAAACTACCAGATTTAACATCTTATCCTAAAGTTTTCCTGACATTCTAAAAATTACTTTCAGTTCTTCACTATAACTGAGGTGTTAGCTATCCCACCTACAAATAAATATCAGCAACATACAACCATGACGATTAATTAAACTGTTAGCATTTGTCACAATACGCAGCACAAGAGAGTGTTAGATTACTCTTTTTATCCTAACACCAGAACAAGAAAACTCGCAGGCAACTTACTCAACATCACTTTTAAAAATTCTGCTATAAAAAGGGGTTTTCCAAGACATACTTCCTCTGTTTCATTTCAATCACCTAAGCCAACAGTACCTTATTTTTTCTTGTGAACACACTGAGAATGTAGTATTTGAAAATGCACATACTTACAATATTTCATGAGCTCCTGCATTTTTAAATTGCTCGAGTCCCAATCAACATGTTGACTTTACTTTCTTTTTCTAAAATTTGCTCCAGCTAGACGTTAACTAAAGTTGTTTTCCTTTTTTAACCAAGGTTGATCATAACTACATAGCGTGACTGACCTTCTGGACCTGCTCAGTTAGACAGCAATCCTGTGACGTTTGCAGCAAGATTTTACCACAAAATTTTCAATATATACCTAAATATGAATTTAAAAATCAAATCAGTCTTTGCCTGCCAATTGATTTTAAAATTAATTTTCAGTTTCTTATCAATAAAATTATGCAGAAAGTGTTTTATTCATAATTATACTGAAGGGAAAAATTTCCTAGTTTATGTCTGTCTGGGTTATTCTTTCCTCAATCTATTATCTTACTATTCTTCATGTTAATTCTCACCTCATATTTGCCCAACCAAATTCCTAAGTTATTCATACCCATCTATACTTCTGATTTAAGAGTCACTGTATTTATCAAAATTCCTAGCTATAGTAATTTGAAAATCACATCACTGTTCAATTTGTGTAGTTCTAGCTGTCATTAATGGATATATCGTTTAATATGAAACTTAATACCAAATCATACAGGGTTTAGGTTGATGCTTCTCACATATCCAAAAGTACTGATAAAATCTGATTTTAGCTTATCTGTTACTTGTTCATTATTCACTGTCAGTATTATAATTATTATTACTATTATCCAGACAATATTAGTTTTCTTCTCTTTGAGCTTTTCTACACAGAAAATGTTTTCTGCACAATATTTCAAAGTTCTTTTCAGAATTAGGTAAATCACAGACATTTCAATTTACTCAACTCACCCATCTAGAATTACAGTTCTTAAAAAGTTAACAGAGTTAGGTAAGCAGAGTCTTCTTTAAGTAAATTTGATAAAATAATTCATGAAGCCTTCTTGGATCTTCAAGTACATTTAAAATGTTTTCCCCATACTCCTTTCCTTCATGCAATTTTGATATGCAGTTTACCTGTATTGCTATAGTTGCACTTAAGTCACTTTCTTCAAAGTTCTTTTTAGGAAGATTATAAAGTTAAGTTGCAGAACAGTCTTGGAAAACATGACAGCTAAGTATTGTTTGTTTGTATTTTTATGTAAAAAGAATAGCACTAACGATTCCTTCAAAATGTGGTCCATCACAATGTTCAGACATCATCCAACACGTCCAGAAATGCTACCTGTATTTCTGCTTATGCGAACAATCAATCACAGGCAACATATCCTCAAAGGTAATCATCATGAATTGGTCCATGCACAGGATCTGACATCATGAACCAATATCATCAAACAAGTAATACAGTAAATATTAACTGTCCATTTTTCCAAGTCATCACACTTCTTTCTGCATGAAGGAACGAAGCAGTCTGTATCCCTTTCTGCTCAACACATTGTATTTGTAATGGAACCACAGAATCGGAATGGCTGAGGCTTCTCACTTTTGCAAATAAACTTGGGCTTCCTGCTGTGA